TGACAGAATTTTTTTCATCTCCTGTATGAGGTGGAAGGTTCCCAATCTGTTACCTGCCTTCCTATGGAAGCGCCCCGTTAGGCCAGGTGTTCCCATCTCTGATTGTTCTCTGGGCTGTTTCTGCCACATCCTTTTGGAAGAAGAGAAACACGGCCGTACGTCTTCCACCCATAGGTCACCCCCACGCTGAATGCAGTGACGCGGTCGTCATGTTTGCTCTTTGTTGTGTTTATTTCTGATAATTTATTAATTCATATCCAAATATTCTCTAAGAGTTTTTTCTCCAGCTCCCACGTGTACATCTCCAGCTTCTTCTTCAAATCTGTGCCTGCTAGTTCTTTTAACCAAATAATGGACTTGATACCAAACGGAAGCGCCGTAAAGGCTGCCTGTGGCAAGCAAGGGAGGCGACGATTTCCGTTGCCGTCTTGTCAGCTGTTGAGGCCACGCTGTGGTGGGACACTGATGAGAACCAGTTCTTTACCCAGCGAAGAGTATGCCTGTCTAAGCCGTGAGCTGCCAGCTTCCCGAGGAGGATATTATGCGAGACGGTGTCAAAAGCTTTGCTAAAGTCGAGGTAGATGACATCCACAGCCTTTCCATCATCTACCAGGCGGGTCACCAGGTCATAGAAGGAGATCAGGTTGGTCAAGCAGGACCTGCCTTTTGTGAACCCTTTTTTGAGAAGAGGGGTCCCCTGGGGTTTTTCGGTCAGAGCTAGGGTGAGGCGTCAAGTCCCTCTTCAACAAACTGCTGCCCAGAATTTTCAAGAGGTAGTGGACACTGCCATCGTTCTGGCTGCCCGTTTCCAACATCCACGCTCAACCTCACTGGGTAATGTATTTAAAAATGCGTTATAAAAGTGTGTGCGCCTACCTAACCTTCCACGTATACACACAAACAGCAGCAGCGATGGGCTTTCTGAACAAAGAGGAAGAAGCAGGGGGAAGGCAGAAGGCCAAAGTCTTGCTTTTTTTTTTTTTTTTCTTAAAAAAAAATCACAGTTAAAGATGGTTCAGACTCTATAATTTGGAATGAACAGGGCTAAATGTCTGCTCTCCCCACTCTACCCATTACCACTTTGGAGGCCTCCTTCAATGTCTTCCCCTCAAAAAAGAGAAAAATACATTTTGCTTCTCACTAAAACCTTAACTCTGGTATTCTCACACACTGTGAGGAAAACGTTGTTCACTGACTAACTTTGCTACTCGGAGGTGACCAACATGTCTGCATCTTTTGTTACTGAACAAAGCGGGGGCTTCATTTAAAACTTACAGTTAACAGTATAATGATATGTTCCCAAATTCTAGTGACACCCATTACCGAGCTCTGGCCGGTTTCTTTAACGTTAGGAAAACGGAAGCAGCAGAGAGAAGCAGGAACCCAGCTGGGCAGGGCTTTGCAAATAAGGCAGAGAGTTTGGTTAATCCCATCAGCGTACTGGCAATAACTGTTTTGCCAGGAGCAGGAACATTAACTGCTCTTGAGTCATATTTTTGGGAATCTAGCTGTTGAATGCAGTTGTCCAAGCCATCTCTTTCTAGGTTTAATTTTGTTGTTGTTGGCTAAAATCCATTAGGCTTGTAAATTTGCTCTAAGTGTGTAATCCAGAGATGTAATCTTTAAGGATTTAAAATGCATCTTTATTGGAGGAGTCCCCATATGAGTGGATTCTGAAAATGGAACTGTTAAAGCTCGTATGCAAAATAACATAGGGTTAGTAACCAAGCTAATAACTTTTACGTTTGCTGTGATGGTTTAAATTAAATCTATAACGTAGCTGGTTTTGAGATCGCAGTATATGGATGCCAAAGTATGTAACTCCAGTGCTTTGCGTTTTCTTTCGATGCTTTGATGTGAGTGAGTCCCTTTCACGGGGCGCAGTCCGTCTCTTAACAGAGGGACCAAGCGTACGGGGCGTTAGGCTGAAGCCTTCGCTTCACAAGGGCCGAGGTCGTATGGTAGGCTAAGCTAAGCACCAGTAGTCCCTGCAGTGTTAACGCATATATAACATGTATTTTAAATTAATAATAGTTATGTATGAATAAAAGCTTTTATCCCTTCCTTTTTCATAATAGGAACAGAGGAAAAAATCCAGGAACTTCTGGAAAGCAGGAAAAGACTGGATAACAAGATTGAGCTACTCCAGGACTTAAAAGAAGTCGTCCTTCCTACCCCGGAGAACACAGCTAGTACATCTAGTACAGTGTCCGACTAGCCCCATAGTCTGTCTGTAATGGTGTCAATATTTAGGATTTTCTAATGATAGAAACCATAGAGCACGTCTGGTCTGTGTCTAAGTAATTCCCCCCTCCCCCCCAAGATAGGGACACAAGCAAGAACTGGCTGTTTTACTCATCTTTATACCTCACTGTTGCAAGATTTTTAAGTTGTCCCTTTCTTTAAATTTTACCATGGATCAATGAGCGTTATATACCAAATTTAGCTTTTGTTAAAGCTCAACAAAACCCTCCAACGAAGACTTTTTTCTCAAAGACAGACAAGGGAGCATCAGCTGCCACAGAGCACTTTTTATGGTCACTTTAACTGTAGGAGCCCTCCTCTGACTGTGCGCAGTAGCTGCTTCCCTGTCTGCATCTAGACAGCGATGTGCTGAGGATCGCATTGCTGCTTTGGCTTTCCAAAGATGACAAATTAGCAGAACTTGCACTCAAAGAAGCCTTCTGAATTGTAAACAGGAATCTGGGGTTTTAATTAAATGATTCTTGATTGACTGCTTAATCTAGAGCTAGTTCTGCTGTAATGGCAGTGGTGGAACAGTGTTTGCAGGCAGACCAGAAACGGTTGGGCATCATACTCTAAAACAACATGTACAACGTAAAATGGATCAACCAATGGACTGTATCTGCCTTTCTCAATTAAGAAAGGAACTGACTTCCATGTGTTTGTCTTAAAAAAAAAAATTATTTGAATACAGAAAAGCATTGTTTAGCTACAAAAGGGTAAGTTAACAAAATAAAGCGTTTTTAAGAAAGCTGTGTGTTTAGTCATGCTGCATGGGACGTGGCTGAGGAGGGGGCGTGCTCTTACACCGTGGTTTAACTCCACCAGGCCTAGCAGGAGCCAGCAGAGCCGTCTGTTGCCTGATGACCCTGTCAAACACCATGTGTCCCAGCAGGCTGCAGTACCATCCTGTTAAACCAGCTGTACGCATTCCGTGAGCTGTAAAAAAAATTTGTAACTTGTGCTTGTTCTGTAAGAAGGTGGAGATCAGAGAGCACAGAATAACGCCGTTCAAAACATAAGCTCTTGGGGCTAGAACTGTTGGCTGCCCCCGCTAGAACAAAACACTGCTCTTTCTTTTTTGCTTGCTTATACAGTGCAGGCCTGCTGGCTCTCCAGGACTGGAAACGCAGCCCAGGACTCAAGCCCTACTCACAGCTAAAACAAAAGTGTATTAACATGGAGCACAGATTTAGCTGTTACCAGGGAACAAAGAAAGATGCAAATCCCCTGTCATGGAAGTGCTATACAACTCCCATGAGCTCTTTTTCCTTGTAGCAGCACTCTTAATTACTGACAAGCAGTCAAGTAATTGACTCTAAGCGCAGTTTAGAGGCCAGGTCCATGCTCTTCTGTTCCGCCCCCCTGCCAAGCCAGACCTTTAGTCTAGTTTGCCATCCAAAACAAGTTATTTATTAGAAACATTTATGACATTTGGAAGCCTTTTTGTCCTAGACTGAACTCCCAACATCATGCTACAGCAGCTCCCTGCCTCTAGCACCAATACAAAATTCTAGGTTTTGCAAAACTTGGCAAAGTCATAACCTCCAAATTAGACCTGTAGTTGTAACCTACACTTCAAACTTCTCTGCTCTACCCTGGCACCTTAAAAGTGCACAATAAAGATAGTAGGCGTGCATGTCCATACACACCTGCTCTGAGGTTACAGTCACATACAGACTCACTGGTGGAAAATAATCAGACGCATAGATAGTGATCACTGGGGGTCTAAATTAATGCCTATGAATAAATTTGCTGTTTTCTGAAATTGAGACAACAGCTATTTGTCAAGCACAGTGAAATCAGTAAGATTCAGGAACACATGGTCTGCACAGTTGGTTTGGTTTTGGGTTTTCAGGGGGGGTTTAAATAAAGCAACTTATATGCTGTATTTAACACAAAAAGCTTGCACTTTTCGTCAAAGACCAAAGAAGTATGCGAGCGAACAGGTACAAAAGAAAAAGAATTTTATTACATGTAGTTTGAATTTATACAACACTTAAATGCAAAACTCCCACTTTCAGAACAGTGTCTCCCTTCCCCTCCAGGGGAACCAGTGTAATCTGAAGTCACCAAAGAGGGAATTTTTGCCATTAATCATTATAAATATTGCTTGAACAGATTACACAAAGTACACATTACAACATAGTAAGTTATACCCAAATATAGATATTTACATCCATTTAGACTTGCTAGTTACCCCTTTCTTCCAAGTCACTTGCATAGACTTTGAGGACATATGATTTTTGCACACTCTTCTAAGCACCGAATACGCTTGGTTAATTACACTCAGCAAATGGCAAATTCATTCACAGTCATGCAAACGCAGTAAGAGAGATCCATGCCATTTGCTTTGCTATAATCCCAGGGAGCGAATGATTTAAGTGACGCTATTCAGTGGCTCAGGTCAGACTATTCTCCAACCCGAAAAGTAAATGAAAAATATGAACAGGTAGTGCTAGAACTGTGATTTCCTAGGCTAAAAAGGCAAGTCCTTAACACCGACTGGTCTTCTTTTTCTCTCTCCGTCTGAAACCTTGAGCTGGTTCAACCATCCAGGTTTGCTAAATGCAAGTGAGTATTTTGCTTGACATTTTTACAACAGTTCACTCCTGAGCACAGAAAACATTTGTTTTCACTGTGGCCTTTCACATCTTCTGGTACAAGAGAACAGGTAAAACTTTTACCCGTATGGTTACGACATCCTGTTATACCTGCAAAAAACCCTACAAATGGCCATAACTAACAGCCTCATTTCAGTTCTTAAAGGCTCCACATTTACTGGCTTTAGCAATGAATTCCTTTAGCAGGGGACCATCCATTTGCCAAAATGCTGTAGTTTGTGTCACTTCTGTCAAATGATTGACACAAAACTTAAAGCAGAACTCCTCCAAGTCCTAAACAGGGAAAAAAAAAACAGAAAAAAAATCTTATTATCTTTGCTTCCATCACAGAAAATTACATTCAGGCACAAACGCCTGTATATGCTTTATTGTTTGCAGAGAACTAGACAAACACATTAACCCAGTGGCTCTCAATGTTCTTCCCCACACAGTCACTATGTAAATGCAACAGAAAATAGTAAATTCGATCCATATAACAGAGTTACAAGGGGAAAAGTAACTATAATTTGGTTCTCACTATGTAGCTCCAGTCACAAAAATGAGCTGTTCTGAGCAATACCCATTTTAAAGGTTTCCCCACTTGAAGAGTTTCATCTGCATTCACTGACTTCTGTTAAAACCCAATACAAATAGGAGATCTTGGGGTAATGATACATAACCAAGACTGTGGATTAAGAGAATTCAGCTCTTCTGTTCTGTAATATGAACTCAAATCTATACGTAAGGTTAGTTGCTTGACTTCCTGCTTAGGTAAGGGCTTAACTAAAGCCTTGAAGTTGCATGTCACCAGGCTCAATGCGAGCGTATACTGACTGGGTAGCTTTAAAGCACAGTTTAGGCCAAAGGCCTTTCTGTGCATTAGAAACAGACTCATGTTACAAAGTATTTCACAGGTCCCAAAAATGATCCATGAGAAGTACTGTGGCACAATACAGCATAGCAATTCTTGCAGAAAGCGGGCTCTGGATATTTGAGTCTACTTGGAAGTGCCTTCCAGTTAAGGGTTACAAAAGCCTCACAAAAGCCTCACAGACAACCATCTTTGCATCCACATGTCAGAGAGAAAGGATGTCTTAAAAAAAAAAACAAAACCAAAAAAACAAAACCCAAACCCAAAAAAACCCCAAAAACCCAAGAGACAGTTGTTGTCAATATAAAGTTGACCACAGAACACTTCCTACTCAGATTATTTGTTTCCAACTCCTCTTTTGAGGAGAAAATCTACTCTTTGTAGTGCAGATCTAAGCTGCTATCAGGAGGATGCTGCAGCTCTTACCAAATAGCAACTCCCCACCCTGTTCTAATTTCTGTATTATGTTACAAGTTTGTAGAGCTAGTACTTTATACATGAGAACACACCCTTCCTTAGCTGCTCAGCAGACTGGGCGCTGCAGTAAGGCTTAACAAATTTGCAGAGCTCTTTAAGCCACATGAGGTACGAAAGAGTGATTTATATTCATGTTTTCACTTAAGGACAATATTGAAAGCTAGAGCAACTGTGTGCCAGTGAGAGTTCTTGACACAACAACAATATAAAAATATATCCTGGCCTAAAACCAGGCATTCTGAAGCTGCAGATCTTGACTTGTGTGGCATCTGTGCAACGAAAAGAGACAAGCTTATTAGAACTGAACACTGAGGGTTGTTTTTTAAATAACAGAATGAACTAGCATTTTAAACAAAATTACATCATACACATTACAATATTTTGCACTGCTTTATTTAAAAAAATCATATTCCAAGTCAATGCAACAGAAGCATACAATAAATGGAAATACTGTAGTATTAGTAAGTAACTTTGGAAAATTTAAAGTTCTGTATAAAAAAGGGCTCAATTTCATTTGCAGATGGATGCACTCCCAGCAAACTGTAGTTAATACAGACTTAAGTGAATAAAGGCACAAGGTACATCCAATGATTATTTTAAAAGCTACAATAAGAAGCCAGACCTGACCTGATTCTAGCCACTTCAATTCAGTCACCAAAAGAAAGACAGTATAGGAGAGTTTCATGTCATGGAGGCATTTTAAATTAGTGAAGCAGCTTCTTTTAACGGTTGTCTTCCAGATGCACAGTCCCTTGAATGAACTACATCATCCAAGCAATTTCAAGCCCCCATCTAGCATCACCGCATGTAAAAAACACTTTTTACTAAAACCCAACCTCTCAGCGTCACCCATTCTCTCCTTGATGTAGCACTTAAGCCTACAGTTCTAATTTCATTTCTAACTTCATTTAGCTAGTGAGGTACAACCAAGGCATAGTAACTGGATTTCTTCTACCCTTTGCAAAAGGAATCAATCACACACTGAAGACCCATCCTGCAAAAAATCTTTTAAGGCTAAAATATGGAAATCTTTCTATTTTCCATGAACTCCCACCAAAGAAATCGTTACGCACAGTAGAGCTGAAGCCACAATTCAGACACTAAAACAGCCCTTTGGGTAAGGTGTAGCAAACAAGCAACACACTACGAGGCTCTGAAATAAGTTAGGGCATCTGCATGCCAATTGCTGGATATTAAGTACAAGAAAAAGCAATGAGTTGATTTACTGAGTACCAAAACTGCTTTGTAAACATAAGTAGCAAGTTAAAAACTAACCAATTGCAAAGTTGCAAACATGATGCACAGATACTATGCTGAACACTAATCGCTGAAGCAAGCCCAGGAGCACTTCCTGATTAGTTCACAAAGCAGCATGTTAATCATCTAGTAGTGAAATCAGACATTATGCAGTAGGGAAGTTTCACTAGCCTTCCCTCCTTTTCACACACTGCTTCTCTGTTTTCAAAATTTATTAGGCCCATAAAGCAGTTCTTATCCTGCCATCTCAGTAGCATACTGTGAAGACTGAAAGCGTATTTGACTGTAGCTAAAAAAAGCCAACAAAAAGCCAAGAAGAAAACACCCCGCCAACAAAAAAAACCAAACCCAATGCAACTCAATCCCCAAACCTACCACCATATGACATCACACACGCCCCACACAACCTTATCAGCAAGTAACTTAAGGCTTCCAAGACTGCTTTTTGTAATGTTATGGTTTTTGCTTTGTATTTAAACCCTTCCCTTGTTTCAGAGTTAGTGTTTTCATCCTCAGAAATTTTTGTTACAGTTTCTTTTTTTCCCCACAGATATAGTAATTCATGAAGCTTGGCACAGCTCATAACCTTTTACCATGAAAGTAAGCAATGCAAACATTTACAGATACCGAGTCCCAGCCTGAGACTTAAGTCATCTTTAGATAACGATGTACTAGTTCACCTTCCCAGTACGGGGGGGCAGGGGGGCAGGGAATTACATCTCTCATGGGAAATACAGTTTGCATACTTCAAACATTCTCAAATTCTGAAAATGGCAAATAGAATTATCTGATAGTAAGGGAGAGAGGGTTTATATGAAAATATTACTGGCTGCTTTTCTCCATAGTTTAAGTCAGAAGGCAGCCACCTGTTTAAGAGATGGAAGTTTAGAAGTTTACCTCCGCATCATATCTGACAGCAGCAGAGAGCAATGAAAATGCATTTTCCACAGTAATTCCTCTCTTGATAATGTGTTGACACAGTTTTTTCAGTCTATTTTCACAGTACGAAGTAGCCAAATCCAAAAGCCCTGCAATTAAAATGCCATTGTATTAATCACTTGTAATGATCTCTGCTCTTTCAACAAGTTTATGCTCCTGGGATACAGGCTGCACCTGCATTCTGTATGCACTGTTCTGTATGTCTATAACATGCTTTTCGCAAGCAGGTCACTATTCAGAAAAATCTATTTTACCATTACACAGGAAGAAAGGCTTTTTATTACCTCATGCTGCAATCCTGTTAATCTCTGTAAATACGCAAGCTGTGTCGCTGATTTGCATACCTAACTGCTTGCGAGAGTGGAACTGTCACAAAACAGGCACCACAACATGAGCAAAAAACTACGATTATAAAAATCTGTGCTTGAATTACAGCTTGCTCTCTGCTCTGCTGTCCAAGTTTCCCCTATTAGATCTACTGAGATTCTTTCATATTATCCTAAACAATAATTGACTCAATTTAGTAAAATATGCGAGTATTTTAACCCAGAGAAATAGTTTCCCTCCCAACCCTGAAAAAATTGCTCATAGTTTATTTCTAAATACGCACCACTTTTGCTGTAGTAAGTTTGTTACAACAGTATTTTAAAGACAGCCTAATTAATCACCAGTAAAATGCATTATAGGCTAGGCTAGACTAGAAGCCTATATCAATACATTTATTCTGCCTCCCCTGTCTCAGTTTTTCTGCACGCTGCTTTCTAACGTAATTGGACTATAAGCAATACCTATTGCATCTTCAGGCGGAAGGTCAACACTGTCTGTATACAAGTACTCAAGAAAGGCACGATACACAGGATAAGAAAACTGGTCTATTTCTATCACTTCCTTCATATCCTCATTCCAGTATGACTGGAACATGGTTCTGAAGTGTTCACACCTAAGAGACAAAGACATCATCTGGAACACTATTATATGTACACATGAACATTACATTACAGTCCCCCTGAAATATGTATTTGGGGCACTCTGCAATATTCACAAATATTTTACCATACCCCATCACAGCCAGTGGTCCACATTTTCGTTCCTAATACTGTGGGCATTGTTATACTTCTGCATCAAGATAAAACTCTTATTTGATCTATGCTACAGAAACGTCTGTGTATAGATTGCCATCAGACCAATTTAACAGAATTTATTAGCCTGGGAACAACAAACAGGCTTAATGAAAATTGAATATGGACCGTTTTAAGACAGTTTTCATTCAACTCCTTTTACAAGCACTTCATTTAAAGTGATTATGGATACATAGATGCTATATATTACAGGTTTAGGGGTCCCTCCCTACCCCTTACTTTTCCCTCCCCCTTAGATGCAATATGAAGATGTTATTCTGTATAAACAAGAGCTGTGAAACATGACCACTACCTGATTTTCAGAACAGCTTTGTGAACATGGATGTACTTTCCATCCACACGGAACTTCAGGTCTGAGGTTTCTGGGCTGTCAAACTCTTTCTTCAGAGACTCTGCTACTGTTAAAAAGTCTTCATGCTCTACAGAAACAATTTAAAAAAAAACAACAAAAAACCCATGTTAAGCATCTTAAACAGAACAATCACTAACTAAAGCTAGCAGTTCAACTAAGGGCATGTCAAGGAAAATAGGTCAGTATCAGGGCTCCATTGGCTTAAGTGGTGAAATGGGAAGAATGCATTAATCCAATACCATTTCCTGTTGGCAAGGACTGCTCCAAAACAGCTACAGGCAGCAATGGTCAACAGTTCCCATTCCAGCTCATTGCCCAGAGGTAGCACAGCACCAAGGAAAGTACGTGGAGAAATTCTTTTCTTGTTCTCCACCTGGGCACCACCCATGAAATTAGAATCATAGAATCACAGAATTGCTTAAGTTGGAAAAGACATTTAAGATCATCCAGTCCAGCCATTAACCTAACACTACCAAGTCCACCACTAAACCAATTAAGGCTAGAGTAGTAATTTCATGTTTCCTGGCTTGGCGGCTGGATTCTTTTTTAATGATAGTAAAACTAGGAATCATTAAGGTTGGAAAGGATCTCTAAG